GCGACGAGCGACTGTACGAAGCTATGGTATGGTATTTTCAGTACGTGATAACACTACACAGCAAGACTGCCTCGACATTTTCCGAATAAAAACCCCAAAAGTTCTGAAAGTTGTAAAGTAAGATTGAATAATCAAAAATGGAGAAACTGTCTGAATACTACAGAATACATTCTTCACGAACATGGTTCTTCCCAACGGCGCGAAAGGAGGATGCTGATTTCATAAGCCTACAATTCGAAAGAAAAACATAAAAAAACAAAATGGATAGGTGCAATCACATTGAAATGATGCTCCACCTTGCTGAGAATCCTTCTGGTGAAATCATGAAATGGCTGCGTGTGATAGTAGAACAAAACGATAGTAACGCTTCCATACCTAGAAAAACGCCATCGTTAAACTGCCAAATGCCAATCTATTGTTGTATTCAAACGGATGATATTGTAGGAAATCTCTTACGAGAAAACGCAGACATTAAAGACAGTGGCGGCGACGTTTAGCCAAGTGATCGACAGGTCGAAGTTGTCCATGCCAGCGGTTACGGTACTCAGCAAGTTGAATATCGACACACAATTCACCACATTCTTCATCATCTACAATGGAAACTACACATCACCTGGAGAGTGAGAAAGAAATCTGTTTATGAACCATGTACATATTTATGAATATTTCACATTACTGCTACACGAACTGTTTCAGAACAAATCCGTTGATCATTTAATTAGAGCGTGAGTGCCTACTCCACTGTTCAATTGCTGGCTATTTTACTTCATTAATTCACCCGAAAATCAGCTTTTGAATGTGTGGGAAAGCTAATGCTCTAGGTGTCTGCTCAAACATTGCCAGTGATCATGTGGGAAATAGAGCGCTACTTGAAACGGTAATTCACGCGTTGAAAAAGTAAGTGCATGAAACAGAAGCGTCGTTCAATTTTGAATGACTCCAAGAATGTTAAACATGTGCGAGAACAATTCTGCACTTCACCTTTCCATCAGTAAAAACTCTAGTGTTTCACTATTAATCATTCAGTGATACGAACTTTTCCATTGGCAACTATTCAATTACATGAATATAGTAGTAAAATACAGCTAACTTGCACTTCTTGAACTGAAGTTCATTATGTTCTAGCTTCAGCAGGATCGCTCAAAAAAACATTTTTATTTCTATGCTGTTGTGGGCCATTGTGAGATGTGAGGATGCAACAACCTGTGACACTCTGACATTCGAAAAAGAAAGCAATGTTGCGCATCGAAAGGGCCATTGAGACAGAAAAAAGGATATCGTCGAAACGCTGAAGTTGAGGGCTTGGTCATTCTTGTACTATGTAGGTCATTGAGAAACTGAGCTCACAGGAATGACAATTCGCGCGAGAGCAGTACGGATCACATGGTGCATACATCAGCAAGTTGTGGAGAGAGAAAATGGAGGCGGTTCGACGCGCTCTTGACTACAGGAGCATAGCTAGCTAATTACTGTGTTACGCATATTTGACTTGTAGTGTATTAGCTCTTTACTAGACCCTAACGCTCATGCTAGGCATTCCAGAGCTGGGAGAATGGGAAAACTCCTCCTCTGTCTGAAGCTCTATCTACACATTAAGCTCCGTGCGTTCCCTGACAGGAAATGAAATGGCAACACTAAGGGAATTGGTAAACCTGAACTCGTCTCGGATGTGCTTCTGAACGATAAACGGGAAGCACTCGCTCGGCTAGTAATCCGGCTCGTTGTCTCAGATGCAGTAAACCACTCAGCCTCGAAAATGGCAAGAAGATATTTCTTTTTCATTTTTGCTGCATCACTTTCCACACAAGGATGTTAGGTGAAAACTCTCGTCGAATCCTGTTCTGTCCTAGGCTAGCATTCCTTATCAAGTACATAAAAATTATGTCGAGGGAGTGGCCGACTCAGAAAGATCCTCCCCCTCCCTCGTTGGGACGTCTACGAACCTAATGTCGAAAATTTCCTTTTTGAATTTTCTTGCGAGCTGAAAAACTGTTTTCAAGGAGAGGTCAGTTTAGTTTATTATAGGCTATAGAATCAAAATAAGGAAGGAAAAAAATAAAGGCGCTAATGGAGTGAAACAAACCAAGCATGTGCGGAGGTTTTCAGAGACTTGAAATCGTTCCGCTAGAGAGTATTCTCGATGGGACTTATTCAAATTCGTGCACTCTCGAAGCTTTCGATAGTTGTACTTTTCAATCATGAGGTTCACTAATGATGCAGCCATGTTGATCACTAACATGCTGATATGGAGCCCGAGAGTCGACGACACTGAAAGCAGTTCGAGCACTTGTTTTCATTTGTTCCTTGCATGGTCACGATTTGAAAGGATCCGATTGTAATATCATGTCATATTTCCAATAATATATCCCCGCCCCTCCATGCTGAGCATGAGCGTCAGGACGAAAATGGCAGCATTTTTTCGTAATCGGCTTTCACGTGTTGAAGTCGCTTCACCATTTTAAGGACTCGGGAATTTAACTCAAAGCGTGAGGAAAATGTGAACCAACTGACACACTAACGTAACACAACTTATATACATACCCAAATATTGACTTCCAAAAAATACACTACAAGACAGGTATGGGTAACTCAGCGATTAGTTAGCTATGCCTCTATTTTTTGCTCTAATACGTCCCTACATATGGCGCATGAAATTGGATATGGATTGCCCATATCATTGGAAGGATTGTTATATTTGACTTCTTTCTGACTCGACTGCGCAATGCGGCCAGAGAGAAAGCAGCGTTTGATAGATGAGTATACGTGGCCTTGGGAGCAACGATCACTTTCGTTGTATTCCTGTATGTGGGAAGAGCAGAGGGCGAGAGCTGCGCGGGACCCTTCTGAAACCCTCACGCGGACACCGACGACGTATTCACGCAACTATGATGCTTCCGAGCGGATGCTAGGAATAGGGAATTCTTAACAGCCCAGCACAAGAGGGAGAAAATCTGAAGCAACACAAGTAGGTATTCGTCCAATGTTCACTATCAAATGCTATTAGGGTTCTCATCTCGATAACTTGCCAGCATGAGCATTAAAGGAGGATTTTTGAAAAGAAAGCACTAGAATTAAGTTAGAAATGGTCAGGGATACAGTGGATAGGCGAACCAAGAAAATTGGCCAAAGCCCGTGAAACTGGACAGGAAAGTTAATATTTCTCAGATGCGACCCTTTTCATCGCTGTTGGCCTCTCAACGTCTAGCGCTCCTCTCTCTCGCTGACGTTACTTAGGCCATTGCTAAGCTCCGCCTAGGGCATAATCTCCGATGCGAATTGCGTGTCAGTCCTGACCCATAGGAAGTCTGCCTGTCTCTCCACTAGGTAACTTTCCCTTCTTCGACCTTCTCCTTGTCGTGGTCTCCTCCGACCCGTTAAGTCGCGGGATTAAACCTGATGTGGTATTTGCTTTGTAAATGTCCCAAAGCAGTTATAAAGTGTAACGCTGGCAATAAAGAAAAGGGGAGAAATCGTCGACGTCCCCTCTCCAATTGCGGCTGATGCAAAATACTATCATACCCAGATGGGTGCGCATAAGCGAATCCTTCGGCCCCAACTTACAAGTTTGTGCGTCTAATTGGGGCTCGCTTTCGCTGCTCCGCCCGCTAACATATTTCTCGCGCTAAGAGCACGATTTCGTCCCCCAAAAATTCAAATCTTTTGCCTTTGATGTGCAGTTCGAGTTGTGTGAGGTTTGTTCACGCTTTTCAATTATTCAATTTATTTCGATGCCCTTCATTATAGAAAGCTATGACTTATTATGCAACTCAACTCACCGTGATGGTATTCTACAGACAGCATTACTCCTGTGGCAGTGATAGTCATCAATATGAGCATAGAAATGTGTCCACGCTTTTTTCTCTCATAATCCATCAAATAGTAACATGCGCAGAGCCTCTCAGCCACAATGCTGGTAGAAGCATGACACTGAAATTCAATCTCGCGTTAAGCATTCTAGACTTTGCGTTGGGCATGAGCGATTGAATAATATAGTAAAACTGTTCCGGTGAGCCCCCTCAAGCACTTGAAGCAACAACCCCAGATGAGGTCGTGCAGAAGAATTTATTTTGTGGATAGGATAGATTTGCCCACGAGTAATATAGAAGTGCCGTTGTCGAGGTCCGTGGGTCCCTCAACTAGGTCAGTTTCCCTTTCTTCGACCTTCATTCTAATCGTGAATTCCTCCTTTAAAAGTGCGCGATGATGGCGCATACATATTGTTACGAGGTGAGCTGGTGTGAGCAATTGCGAGCTAGTGGACTATAAGATATCTCGCGCACATCCTGTTACATACAAGGGATGTGGAGTGGACATGGCGGCTAATTCACATATGCGTTTGGTAATTGGGGCCATGAAGCAAGCATGTTCAGAAAACTTGGTCCAAACACACCCCTTTGGTGGGTTCCATTGTAGACATAAGTATCTTCCTAGCCTTCAAGCTGTGTGTGCACTGTGCAATAGAAGCAGACAACTCACCAATGAAGTAGAGAGTACAGCGAAACAACGACGAAGCGAAGAAAGCTGAAATCAGCTGAACCTCAAACTGATTAATTGCACCATAAATTCATAATCGCTCACCTTCTCCGTCCTCTTCGTGGTTAAAAATAGGACATTGAAGTGTTCGATCGGTCAATTCGTAATAGACTCGACCGCAACGAAAAACGCAGAATGAGGCGACATACTGAAGTGATGACGCGTTAACACCCACCACAAGAGATCATCATGTACGCCACCGCCAAATAGCTGAAACCCGAGTTTCATTTGTGTAATACTCCAAAAAATAAAGAGAAAATTTCTAAGCATTTTTGCTGAAGTCTTTTCTATTCTCAAAGATTAAATAATGCTAAATTTATTGTCACCGAAAAATCGACAAAACTGTAATAGCTTATTACGGGAAGGCAGTTTTCGAAGAGTAAGCGAACCTTGCAACTAAACTCCTAGTCATAGCAAAAGATGCTACATTGCTCTTATAATCAGGTCCACATATACGTGGCTCCTACCCTCAATTTGCTTGAAGGCACAGGTCGGCATCGAATTGATGTGGGTACTTTTGTTTCGCAAAATGGGCATAGTAGTGCAATGAGAACATTGTGTGAAGAGGAAAAAGCAAAAAGCACCATAGAAAACTGAATTTCCCTTGAGGTCGGCCGTAGTATGACGGAGAGACACAGCGCTGCGAGGAGAGGGAAAACACGAGAGAGCACGTCGTACGCGAGAGGACGCAAACGCTACTTATGCCACGGTCAATGAGGATGCAAGGCAACGGACAAGTCACGACCTTGGAGCCCTTGCTGCGCACTTTTGGTCGGACAGTGTCGCGGCCCTGGGATTGGGGACCCCTCCTTCTCATTCTAGAATGGACTACCGCCTAATCCCAACCCGTCACTTTGAGAGCACCTAATACACCTCGCTCTGCCCCCTCAACAGTTTATCAATAGACAGTGGCAGTGAAATGAAAGTTTAGAAAATGGTATTTTTAGAAGTAGGATAGTAGAAGCACGAAAGTCCTTCTCTAGTAGACCCTTTCAGATGGTCCATATTTGGCTTCCAGGCAAATTCAGCCTTTTGCGGGCAATACCTGACAATTACAGCTTACCTCACTGCTATACCTATCAGTTCGACGAAGGTTAAACAGCAGTAATAAGGCCAAGTGCCGTCCAACTGCGAATGAGTGCTGTTGAAGTAAATCAGGTAATGTGTTGGCATTACACGTGAAGAGTGGCTTTCCTGTGAAATTTTTTTCTGTCAAAATATTACAAATTGAAATCGAAAGCGAGCCAACGTCATCATCATCCTGATCAGAAAGAAGGCGAAGAAAACTATGACAAAATTAAGTACAGCACAATTCGGAAACACGAAAGATGTTGAAAATCATGATATTGAATATTGTTGAATCGCCAACTATCATATTTTCGCCTCACAAGAAGAAAGATATTGGCTTGATTGAAAAGGTACAGAGTGCTAGAAAAGTTCAGTAGTAAAATGCAGTACGGCGTTGTGGTCTTGTGTACTCCAGAATTCCCAGAGCGAGCTGAATTCAAGAGCATGTTATCCAATCTTTCTAATCTGGAATCCAGACGTAAACTTTTCGATCTTTGCATGGTACACAATCTTCATA